TTCTTTATTTACTTTGTTTATTCCATTTAATATACTTCTCATCTCAGATAATGTGTTCTTCATTTCAGACTGGTTCCCTTTTATAAAATTTCCAATTCCATTTTTATGTTTTCTATCTCTTGTTGAAGTTCTCACTAAATTTATCTACACTTCCCAAAAGTTCATGAAGCATCTATATAACCAGTGTTTTGAACTCTGCATCTGTTAGATTACTTGACTCCATTATATCTGGATCTCTGTTCTGTTCTCTCATATGGTTTCTGCTTCTTTGTCTTCCCATTTTGGCTGCCTTTCCACGTCCGTGTCTATGTACTAAGCAAAGCTTCTCCGTCTCCCGGTCTTATTAGTGTGGATTTGTGAAGTAGGTGTCCAGTGGGAAGTCTTGAGAGGGGTTCGGCTGAGGGCCAAACTTATCCCCAGCCTGTGCCCCTCCAGGGCCACCTGTTAAGATTCAGCAAGCAATTCACAGATGCTGTGCTTACGGTTGCCCCAAAAGGCCACGCCAGAAGCCAAGGCAGCTGACGCCTGCACGCAGGCGAATCGGCAGTGGTACTCAGAGCGAGCAGGTCCGTCACCATGAAAATCCAGTCGTGGTCATGGCCCCTTTAAGAGACATCTACTGCTGCCACTGCTGCAGCCTCCGTGTCACTCAGCCGCTGGGGACAGGGCAGCTCTGTGTCCTCTCCCCATCCGACCTTCTGCCGTTGCAGGGTGACTTCTTGGACTTCTCCCTACCTGTATGGCTTGCTCCTCTAGTTCCCAGGTGACTTTTCCTTGCTGCTTCTCCTTGTTTCCATCATGACTTTGATTTGGTCACCAGAGGGATGAACAGAGCCTCTATCATCAATGCCATTTTTTCCCCTCCTCTATTGGCTCTTTTTTTTTTTCTTTTTTAGGCGAGGCAACTCTTGGTTGACCTCAGAGATTGCAAAGACCTTGTCAGCTTACAATCCCTTATTTTTTATTTTTTACGCCTACAGCACCTGGTCTTCCTAGGTGATCTCCCATCCAAGTACTAACCAGGCCCGACTCTGCTTAGCTTCCGAGATCAGACAGGATCGGACGTGTTCAGGGTGGCATGGCCGTAGACGGCTCATTATTTTTAAGAGATTTCTATTTCGAGAAGAGTCAAGATTCAGTTTTCAGTGATGATGAAAAGGTACATTGATAAGAAACGATTGCATAGTGGTAGGTAAAAGTTTAAGAGAATGTATGTCATAGTGATATTATTTAATACTAGTTCCTTACAAACAGGGTGGGGCAGGGTGTGCAATTACTAACGCTGAAATTTTGAAACAGCAGCAGAGTGAGTGAATTTTAACTTTTGTTCATTTTTGGTGATTATGTGATTATTATGGACACTCTGCTTTGCGGTCACTAACATCTGGGATGCGACAGGGAGCAAAGGTAACAACGGTCCATAGGTCCCCGGCACCTATTCAGAGCAGCGTGCAGAATGTGATGCATTTTTGTAAGAAACATTTTATGATTTTTAAAATAAATTTAGTGAACCTAAAAAAAAAAAAAAAGATGCATTTGTCATTTGAAAAACTCAAAGAACTCACATGAGAAGGAACCGAAGTTTCCCTCCTGACGTCATCCTTAGCTTTCGCACGTGAAACAGACGTGCTCAAGTGTTTCTGCAAATCTCCCTCGACTGCCCTAAGAGAATGCTGCCTCCTGTTTTGTGCGCTTGTGGATGAGTCTCGTGCCATCTCACAATCTCTCAGCAGTATTTCCCTCTCGATGAAAATGATCACTCTTAAATACACACTGAGATGCGCTGGGATGCTGGTTTACCATAGTGAGCTTCCCCCCCGTAGCATCGAGAGCCGGTGGAGAAGGGAAGATGGTGGGAACAGGAGCGCTCGACAGGCCCATCAACCAGCCGCGCTTAGTGACGTCACTGGCTGATTTTGGAACCAAAGATCGAAGGAGGCCTGGAGCCACCCGAGCAATCCGAAAGAATTGCATGACGTCACTCGAAAAGACACACCCGAGGCCTTTGACATTGCAATGCCTCAGATAAATCTAGTAACTTGACCTTAAATCAGGCTCCAGGGAAGCATTCTAAGCAAGTTCCTGTCGCACTTTAAACCTGACCCGCGGAGTCATGGTACCTCAGGACTCTCCAAAGGCCCAGATGATTCCAAGGGGAGCCCAGATGATTCCCTTTACGAAATATATTTTACGTGACGAGCGTCTGCGCCAGGCCACAGAAACTGATACTTCAGGAAGTCACATGAGGTGAAAAGCTAAGGATGCTGCTGAAGTCATCCCTGCACTGTGTACATGGTGGCACCAGCCCAGATCATTAACTCTTCATATTTATTTATTTTAAATTTGAAATGTTACTTGTTGCAACATTAGTGATAAAAAAAACTTTACGAAATATATTTTAAAATTTTAAAGTTTTTAAAATCATATTAAACTTATATTAACTTATATTAAACTTATATTTTTCTCAATCTGAATTAAAAAAATAACTCATTTTGACTGTGGACTTACTGATGCCAGATGGGGTATATAAAGATGATTCTTGGCCCAATTCTAATTAGGTTTCAATAGTTTATTCAGTGAAATTTATTTTGAGCAGAATAGACCCTGAGGATTTATTATAAGGGATGGATAACAGTGCAAAGTCCAACACTGACAGAGTTTAAATAAATACAGAAAATAATATTTTGGGTAATGTAATAAACTGATAATCCAGAATGAAAAACATTTAGCTTCACTACTGGCACCTAATTTACAGGGATGCAGCTATCATCTCTCTCTCTCTCTCTCTCTCTC